TAAAAAATTTTTCATAACCCCACTTTTGATCGTAGAATCCAAAAATATGAAAAAACATGTATGTTAATTTCGACCATTCCACTGACCTCGGAAGCAATGCTCGACTGAGTCGCGAAGTCTCTCTTAACTATATATGTTGTAAGGCTGAAAAGCATCTTAAAATGTTAACTACCGATAGTCCACCACCCATTTGAAAGTTTAGAAATTTAGGAATCTAGATTTTTGGACATTTAAAACTATACAAATTTAGAACTATAGACATTTACGAATTTAGAAATTTCATACTATAGACATTCAGAACTTTAAAAATTTAGGAATTCAAACATTCAGAACTGTGGAAATGTAGAACTGTAGAAATTTGGCAATTTAGAAATTTAGAAATTTAGAACTATTGACTTCCAGAACTAAATTCTTAAATTTCTAAAGTTCTGAATGCCTACAGTTCGAGATTTCTAAATTCTCAAATTTCTAGACTTCTACATTTCCAAAGTTTTAAATGTCTATAGTTCTAAGTTCCTAAATTTCTAAAGTTCTGAACGTCTCTAGTTCGAAATGTCTAAATTCATAAATTTCGAAAGTTCTACTTTTCTAAAGTGTTGAATGTTCCTCGTTCTAAGCCGTTTTGAAGGTCGATTTATTCGTACATGATTTTAGGGATTTTACGGAAAAACCTCATAACTCCAAAAGGAAGCAACCCGGTCGAAAAATTCTGGGAATCTTTGGAAGTATGTCATTGTTACTTACTATGATAGTGTGAGCCAAATAAGCGACCATCGATTGAGTAGCTCAGGTCGTATCATTCATGCAGTGACCCTTAGAGATATAGACTTGTACCATTGTGCCACTGAACCTCTGTGTACCCTAGAGAACGTACTTGATGCAAGTACTTGGTTACTTGCTAAGTACTTGTCAATGATCGACATACTTGCCTTATTGCTAAGACGCACTTTCTGAAAGTACTTGGCAAGTAAGGACAAGCACTTACAAGTAAATTTACTTGGAAATAGGTAAATACCCGCTTGATTACTTAGGAAATACTTGGTCCAAGTACTTGGCCTCAGGTACGTTCTCTAGGGTCCATCACTGTTATACAACATTCAATGCAGTTTTGTGCGCAGATTATGAATTTGATATTGGTGCATTTTTAAGCATAAAAGAAATGAAGAATTGATAAGGTACACTAAAAATGTACACTACTTCTCCACTTACACATTTGAAAAAACCTCCTCCGAGTAATTCAAAGTTTTTTTATATATCAATCGATCCAAAATTATCAAGTGCAAAAAATATGAGAATTTGGTTTTGATGAAGCTGGGCGGACGATTTCTAGGTCCAAAATACCAAAATACTGAAAAAAAGCCAGTTTTACATCTGCGCTTATGAAAAACATTACTCTATGTATTTCAACAATACAAGTGTAGCAAACGTCAAGTATTTGATGAAGAAGCTATAGGAGAACAGTCTCAGTCCTTAACATAACAGGTTCAATTCCTAAAACTCGTTTTAACCGAATCCATTTTACTACTATGTTAAATGGATATTGAAATGAAGAATATTATCAGATATGTGTGCACGCATCTGAGAAAAGACACTGAGTACCTTTACTTTGCTGGAGAATTGTGGAAACAGCTTTTCTAAAATATTCTTCGATACTACACATGGAAGGAATACTAGTAAATTGCTCGTTGATTTAGGGTGGCTATTAATCAGGAGTTTGCAGAGACTAATCGCATGATTACGGTCTTCAAATAAAGGATTGCCGTATACTTGTGTGTGCAAAAGATAATATCATCTTGTACTTCAAAACTATGGCGTAAACCTCGTCGCCGACAAGTCTTATGCTAATCTTGCGCCTTACTATGCTGTGACGTCATCTGATACACTTAATATCTAAGACGACAGCATGAAATGGCATAGGTTGGTTCTATTGAGAGCCTCTAGCCTCAATGAATGTTTCCGAAGTTTTTACAAAACCAAGGGAACGTTTCAAAATATATTCCGATCAGTTGGTCGCCATTCCTCTATTCCGCTGTTCTTCTCTTCCCCAATTATTCCTCTATTATAGAACATTTGATTGTATACTAGTTTTGCTGTACATAGTTTATATACATCGAACTTGATTTTCTTTTCTAATTGTTTCTACTTCTTCCAAAGCAATTAACCGCCATGTATCCAAAGATTATTCATTTAACAAGCTTTCCAATCCCTACTAGTTTTTTGTATGAGGTACTAGACCATTGTGCCCCCTTCTCAACAACCAGACTTTTTGAAAATGATCTAGAACGATAGAGAATTGAGATTCTGAACAAAGTGAGACGTTTTCGAGCCTTCTGCGACTTCTCGGTCAAGAGAAATGTTCAAAAAACTAAAAAGTCGGATTCGAGACTTTTTATTGCCCATCTTTTTTACCTTGCTAAAACCAATACTAACACTAAAAGGAAAAGAAATTGAAATCTCTCATGGGACAAGAGATCCTTAATGGATAGCAATTACCATAGAGACGATCGACGTGTCAGAGGAGAAAACCTTGAAAATCGCACGTTTCCGAAAAAACGGGACCGTCTTAAGAATCACGATTCCAGTTCCACCGAAAAGAACTGAAGTTTCAGAACCCTACCCGAACTGTGCTTTCTTCGATTTCGACCTCTAACCGAAACCGTTACATCCCTTATCAAAAGAAAACTAACATCTGCTTTCAGAATCTTTATTATAATGGTAAATCTAGTGTATCTTCGCTCTATCTATTCTTTATGTACAGAATCAATAAAATGAATTGTTAAAATAAAGAAAATCGATAGTGAAGGAGAAGGAAAATATGTGCATCACCTGACTATCATCGCGATGTATTTCTTGTTGAGTTTGAACTAGTGTGTTTGGAACACTTAATAAGTACACGAATCTCAGCCAGTAAAAATGGAAAAATCAACTATCACTGTTGTTTCCTGATCGGCAACAGTTCATACGGTTCTTCGTAACCTTAGGTACTTCAAATCTTCCTCGCCTCGAATACCATTGATTGCCCTCACTCTGAATCCAGTGACAGAGACACTCAATAAAAGTTTTGGCGTATATCTGTTCTCTCCAGTGGGAAGGTAGCTTATCAAAACCGTAAACTGCTCCTGCTAACTGACCATATATAGCAGCTACCGTATCTGTATCATCTCCTAAATTAACTGCAAGCAGTACACCTTTCTCAAACGACTCACCATCACACCAGAATGCCCATAATGCTGCCTGTAACGCTTTCAGAATATAACCGCCTGCTCGAATTCCGTCGTCATAGCCTCTAGGCTGTTTGTATGAACCTTCAGCAATTTCAACAATTTCATTAAGCAATAGTTTCTTGCCAAACCAACCGTCTCTGCATCGCCCTAGATAAAATGTTTTGCTCAATAAACCTGGTTTTGAATAGCCGTGCAGAGCAGCACATATGAGAGCGGCGTAGTATCGGCAAGCGTCAGCAGCCCTTATATCTCCGTGAGTCAAGAGAGCACTTTGTCCAGCAAAATTAATGGCATCTGGTGGTGAGCGCCAGAAAAACAGTGGTACAGGTGCAAGGCGCATCAAAGCACCGTTGCCGGCCGCCCCTGAAGAAGAACACTTGGTCGACATATCATTTTCGAATCTGATCGACCTACTTTCCGATAGATAGTCAATATGTTTATTAGAAATGTCGTTGTTTTGTGCGAATGTTTGTTGCCGACGTGCAAATTCTTCTATCGAGTCACTCGACGCTTTCCCGATATCAAAACACCTGCCGGTCGATGACATGTATCCGTCCCTATACCACCATTTGTATCGAACAAGCTGATCATAAGCATTAAAGCCGTGTTTGGCAATGAGACTGGCAGCCAGGCATAGAGCCATCGACGTGTCATCCGTCCATTGACCCGCGTTTAACCCCCATGTTCCACCTCCTCGTAAGTCATCTACAGGATTTTGTACCATGAAACTATGCGGTCTGAACTCGACGCATGCTCCGACGGCATCACCCGTAGCCATGCCAAACATTGAACCAAGTATTTTGTCGTGCACTTGGTGATCGCAGTTGTAGACAGGCGCTTTGCGTGGCATTTCGTCGGGTGTCTTGCCACGTATATCAAGCCATGGTGTATTAGCATTTTCGGCCATATATTTTGCGAAAAATGTAATATTAACTAAGAGTATTTTACCTCTTTTAGTGGCAAAAGTATCTTGTAAATTGCGCACTGTTTTCGTTTTTGAATAAAAGTAAAAGTCGTGTTTTTTAACTTTTTTATCATTCTTAAAGCAACTTTTGTTTCGTTTCTCTTATCAGCAATCATGCACCTCAAAATAAAAAAGCTGTCTCCCTGGTTTCTGTTTTGATAGCATTTCTCGTTGTCGAATTGTTGTGTGAGACCGAAGGTTATTTTCTGCTAATAAGTGAAACAACTCTTAGAACACACACATCGTCGAACACTTATTCATTCGATTGGAGAGTAGGTGATCATTCTTAGTTCCTCTAGCTTCGGTCAGCATTTCTATCAAGAGAGGATCTTGAGAATCCGGGCCATTAGGATAGCCATAAGAATTTCTGAGTGGCATCTAGAGACAGAATAACATCCTTCGAGCAGCTAGAAGTGACAGCTGTTGCAATTAGCTGGAGTGGATATGTCAGATCATTGGTGCAACTTTTATATTCAGCAAATGCTTTTGAACAACGCATTATGCATTCACCAATTAACTGGAATCGTACATCTCGAGGTTTTCATATAACTGGTTCGTGTTTTAATTTACCCGCAATAGTAAGCGTTGTAGCTTAAACAATACTTGTGGGCTATAATATTATTAACCTAGTAAAACTCAACAGTATAATTGTTGTTTCAAAAATCACTACTGTTATAATGTATATTACAGCATGTATCAGATTTATTAATCCAGATAATTATGATTCATTTATATCAAGGAACCAAGATCGCAATGAATACGGTATGACCACGACTATCGCATTCTTATTGGTTTTAATGTCATTGCAACCTCAGCAGCGCAAGAAACAACAAGAGATTCGCAGAACACATTACTAGAATCGGCTGTGGTTATTTAATAGACAGCTAGAAATAGGTCAAGGACATGTCTTTAATCTTCATTTGATGACTTTCATTTTTTCACCATGTACATGCCATGATCCACAGAGCGGTATGATAGTTTAGTGACAAAAATGAAAAAAAATACACGTTAGTTAAAGAAAACGTTATTGAGATCGGTCTTACACTGATCGAAAGAGAACAATTTTCTCTATCAAATAGTCATGTCAAAATCCTAAATCCAATGGGACATGTCTTCGAAATATTAATGTTCATCAAGAATTCTTCTCTCTTCAACTTACAACCGAGTGTACTGTTCATTGAAATGGATAGGAGTACGCATTGGACCACCATAATACGTTGTGGTATATGGACAATTATGGGCTCAATTCTTTATTTTTCATACGGGTTACACTGTTCAGCTTCCGGTAGTGAAACCATACATTTAGTTTAAACTGTTTTTTTAGAATAAGAAATAACCAGTAATGATCACAAGCGAGTGGGGAAGCACTCATGATAGTGACCATTATTTTGTATAAATGAAAAGCAGAATATAAGCAACAAAAGTGAAAAACTAAAAACGAAGAGACAAAACGAACAGAAATATAAGAAACATCAGTTTCGCATGAACCTTGTTTAGAAATCAGTATGAGCTGTAGTTGTATGAGGAGGCAAAGCACATCAGAGGTGGAGAGAAAGGATCAAAACTATTTTTTCTTTTAACTTTTGCTTAGGCAGGTAGAGTACCGTTTAAAATCGTCTTGTTTTATCAATAAAATAAACAACAGCATCATGAATTTCTTTCATCCCATTCAGACTTAAAGATTTTGCTAATAGCAAAAGATCTAATGTTACTGCACCTAAACAGGCATCTGGCAAAATTGGAGATATCTCTTCTCGCACATGCACGACGTACATCTTCAAGATATCTATCAACGATAGATATTCTCTTTTTCTCGTTTGCCGTGTGAAGAAAGAGGAAAAGTCAGTGTAGCGTTGTTTTCATTCACCATTTTATTCTTTCAACACTTTTTTAAACTTCTTTTTTCTGCCTCGTTCCTTTACGTCACATATATCGCAGTGTTTGCACACGCATATCTTGTGCTAGAAGAGATATCTCCAATTTTGCTAGATGCCTAATGATTAATTGAATCAAATAGAACTTTCTTGTCTGTGTTGTACCGCAAACAATGAAAAAAGTAATGGATCAAACTTTTTCTTCTACCGCAGGCCCACAAATCAGTATCACCGCTTTTTAAAATATTTTTCTCGTTTAAACATTGTTTTAGAGGAGGAAGACGAACTCTGTATCTTGTGTAGGCTACCTCCAAACGACGGGGAACATTTATACGCAAACATTTTCTTATATCACTACTTCCATTAAAAACATGAAAATAATCATTTAATTTTTGCTCGAAAAGATGTATCTTAAAAACTAAGCTAATCGCAGTTGAAATTTCATTCCACTCCACTGGTAATATTGCAAAGAAAGTATTACTTAGCAATCTACTTGCAAGGTTACGAATTGTATACTGTCTTCTTTTTCCAAATCTTAGTTGATATGTACTCTTGTTTACACTCACGTCAGCTGTACATGGTCACGCAATACTGGGGAGTAAGACCTCGCACTATTCGAAAAAATAATAATAAACGCATTTGTAAGAAATGTGTTCTAATTGGCAGCCAGTACAAATCATTCAAAACTAGATTCGTTGTTGTTCTGCTTAGTACCTGTAACGAGTCTCGCTTCGCGTTTTTGTACACCATCAAGCTTTTGAAGGTTATACTCAGTTGTTAAAGAATATAATGTTGCACCATAATTTAACGCAGAGAGAACAAAACGATTTGTATATAGTGTCAAGTGCACGTCTATTCAATAACCACTTATTCAGTGTCATCAGCCCGAGAATAGAATTTGCTTTAGCTACAAGTCTGTTTATGTGTTTGGTCCAGGTCAAGTCTCTAGGGAGGATCATACCAAGATGAACATGTTCATCTACTTGAACTAAAGGACTGTTATTCATAACAATCGATGGCGATATAAGCCTACGATTTTTAGTAAACAGAATAGTTTTACATTTTTTAACATTAAAAGAAAGTAGCCAGGTATCAGACCAATCAGATAAGCGCTTCAGATCTTTATTAAGAGAATCTGTCGCGGTCATAATGTCAGAACCTTTACTAAATAAACAAATGTCATCAGGATACAGCTTGCAAAGATTCTCCAAGTTACCAGAGACGTCATTGATATATAACAAAAACAAGAGTGGTCCCAAGACTGAACCTTGAGGCACTCCAGCATTTACCACCTTCTCAGATGACACTGCTCCTGAAAGAACGGTAACAATATGCCTTCCAGAGAGATCCGACTCGATCCAACGCAACATGGGTCCCTTAATAGCCTACCCCTCCAGTTTATGTAGCAAACCACGGTGCCAAACTCAATCAAAAGCTTGGCTTATATCTAAGAAAACACCTTGAGCGAAACCATTATTATCCACTCCTTTCTTTATATAGTGGATAATCTCATGCAGGTGATTGATTATACTATCCCACTTCCTAAAACCTGACTGATGACAACTAAGCAAATCATTCTTTGTTAAATATTCATAGACTTGGTGATGTGCTAGACGCTAGCAGACTTTCGAAAGCTCAGGCAATAGTGTTATAGGACGATAATTTGACATTAAGTGCACGTCCCCGCTCTTAAAAAAGCGCATTAGCATATCCTGTTTTTCAACACGTTGAAAATATACCAGAAGAAAAGATTCATTTAGCAAACTTGCTAAGGGAGAAGAAATAACAGAAGCAAGCTCACGAAGAACACGATTACTTAAGCCTGGAGCTCCAGCTTTACTTATATTCAAGCATGAAAGAATTTTAAGAACATCGTGGTTAGAGACATAACACTTATCAAAGGCTTTTTTGGTACGACTCGGAAAAACTGGAACCTTTCTTTCATACAATTTTTTTCCATGGAACAGGTATTCGAAAAATATTCATTCAACATTTCAGCTTTTTCTTGAACATTTTTTACTTGTTCACCATTCACATTTTTCAGCGATGAAACAGATGAAGTTTTTTGTTTTCCTAAGGTGTGCTTCACCAAAGCCACCACTTTTTGGAGGAAGAATTAACCCGGTCGGATATTTTTTCATAAAATTTTTTCTTTGCAGTGGCGCATGCGCTTTCAAAGTCAGAAACGGCATTCAAGTATTTTCGAAGGTTATTTTCTTTCGCCACGCTCCCAGTTGAAGCCTTTTTAAATTGTTTGAACGCATTATTTTTTTTTATTGAACAAATTTCCTTAGAGAATCATCAAACCAGATTTTAGCTCTGCCTTTTATTGTAACAAATTTATGCGGCACAAAATTGTTTACTTGCTCGAAAATAATATCCTGAAACGCGGACATTTTATCATTGATAGAAAGATAATTACACAAAATTCTGTTCCAGGGAACAAGCGACAGGTTACTGCGCAACACATTCCAATCCGCAGCTGCATAGTTGTATATCAGTCTCTCACTAGTTTGAATTAGATCTATTTTTGCATTTAAATGCACAGAAAGCATTTTGTAATCTAGTCAGAGGTGCAAGCACTTGACAGTCTTGTATCTCAGAGAGAGAATCACACATAACTAAGTCAACACATGTTTTAGATGCGGGACGAGTGACTTTGTTAACAAGTTGATGTAAATTGTTACGAAACACGAAATCTCCGATGTTGAAGGCCTTATAGGACACCAGTTAGTGCAGTGTCCGTTAAAATCTCCTAGAAGAACTACTAGAATATTTTTATATTTTATATTTATCGCAAAAATTGATTTTTCAAGAAAATATAGAAAACCAGTGACAGAATGATAATCAGGACGATAACAAGTAGCAATAACATACGACTTGTTCGGTGCGAAAGTGATTTTAATAAACATAAATTCAAAAATAGAATCTTCGTATTGCAAGAGACGTTCAGCTTCAATACCATTATTAACATACACAATACATCCACCTCCATGGTTGTTTCTGTCTTTGCGAAATACTGAGTAATTACTTATTTTAAGGACGTCGTCAGAATCCGTAGAATTTAAC